ATCGGTTTTTCTACTGCTCAATTCTTTTTTAATCTCTCCTAATATTATGTTACTGCTGATACCGCAGAACGGTTCAGGTCCTACAAAGAGAGTTTGAGCCCCTTTCCTTGCAGTCTCGTTACCCTGTACCCCGTTGTGTACCGGGACCCAGGTGAGAGTAACTCTATTTTTCTCGCCTAGCTCATTCAATTGTTCTAGGCATCTCCAGACCATTTTTGAGCTAATTTCGTAATAGCTCAGCGCTTTGATGGCTGCTTGACTATCGGACATGATGATAATCTCTTGTCTATGATAGTTTCTCTCGATGTTGAACTGGATACACTTCTCGATGGCGTGAATTTTCGCCTAGAAGATGCTTGGGTATTTTCCCAAGCTTTCGGGTGCTTTGTTCTCGGCCCATACATTCCTATTCCAGTTCCTTCTATGGTTTTGGAACCGTCCGTATACCAATGAATAGCACGTCTTTCGGTTGCAAGCGCGATGGATTCTTGGCTCCATTCTTTCTTGCAACCCAGCTCTGTGGTTTTGAAGTTTTTCACAAAACTGTACTTCTTTAGCATTTCATCCCTGGGCATCCCAGGTATCTTTAGTCCTGAAGTAAGAGCACTTTCGTCTGATTACTACGTTCCTGATCATTCTATATCGTGTCCTTTTTGCCACATTCTCTATCATCAAATGTATAGGGGTGAGGTTTAAGATCGCCTCCATTGCGGCCGTAGGACAGGTTCTCATTGCACCAGTATTGCAAACACAGGCTAGTCTTTGTACTTTTTGAGATATTAGCTCTCGTAGTAGCTAAACTAGTTCTGTTACTCCAGGTATAGCCCCGTAAGTGATGATTAGTCTCACTATTGCAGTATACATCCATCGCAGTATGTTTAGGTTACATACCCATCGTTTGCCTGCAATGTTTCTGCATACCAAATTCTTTTGTGGTCTTATTTACTACTTCCTTTTCATGTGTTTTCCAGAAAAGTTTGTTGTCCAGGGTTAGGCCTATATATTTGACTTCATTTTTCCATTCTATATTCATCCCGTCTAATTTAACGGTTTTGAGATTAAGTTTTCTTTTCCTTGAAAAGGCTACTAGTGTTGTTTTTGTAGGGTTTATACTAAGTTCCACTTCATGGCACCATATTTTGGTATGTTCTAGTCCTCGTTGGACTATATCACACAGGATATTACTAAACTTGCCACAAGTAAATATGACTATGTCGTCGGCATAACCTTGACAGGGTATGCCGAGGTCAGGCAATCTGCATAGAAGTTCGTCTACGGTTAGGCTCCACATTAGTGGGAATAGAACTCCTCCTTGTAGACATCCTCTGGTTGTGCAGATGGAGATGGTGTCCTGCCCTATATGTATCTCTGCAGTTCTCGTAGATAACAGCTGAGCCATCCATCTGGATGTGATGTCATCTACTCCTCTGTATGCAAGTGCTCTTTATACAGATTTGTGTGGCGTGTTGTCGAAAGCTCCTTCTATGTCTTCTTGACCTAAAAATAACTTACCTATCTATGAAACTTACATCATAAAATAAATTTTAGTTGTAACGAAACGAAAACGTGTAAATATTCTAAGTTTTAAAGGAAATTCGTAGGCAACTCGATAATTGCACTTGTCTTACAAAAGTCAAAGTAAATTTTCGAGTATTTTAAAAAAAATTCTATTTCTTAGACAATAATATTACAATTTAAATTTTTCCCAAAACCTACGTTAAATTAAATTAAATTTACCTTTATACTTTTTACCTAAAAATAAAATTATTTTGTACTATTTATAAGTTAGTATGTAAATGTGATTGAAAGTTACTAAAAAATTAAAAATAAAAGTTTTGTCCTCTATTACCAATACTATAATTTTTATTTTATCATAAAATTATATCTATAAAATTTTATTTTTGATTTTGTTTGGTATATGAGATACATGTAGGTACATTTATAAGATGTTTTTTTATTTTGTAATTAATAAAATTTTTATTTTTAATATTTTTTTTACTGTATTTATTTACATTGAAAAGATATACAACAGTGTTCCAAATGAGGTAATGTGGTGAGCTATTATTAGGCAGGAAATCACTTCCAAATGTGTGTAAAAACTTCAGAATAGAGGTAAAAAAATAATAGGAGGAAGGTGTAAATACAAAGTGAAGGTAGGTCTGGAGATTATTATTTTAAATGTTGATAATACTTTTGGTTCTCGGATCATTGTATCAGGATAATAGGAGAGCGAGGATGTAAAAATTGATTTTACGTTACCCTAAATTACAAGTGTCGCTTTCCAACGTGGGGCCAACATTATAAATTATTACCTAACGTGGTTTAAAAAAGGTGTGACTATTATATATTAAAACTAACCCATATGTAATGTGGTACACCACGCCTATACATAGTTTACAGTACAGTAAGTTATACATGTATCCTACAAAACTAATCAAACAAATCACCGATTGTTCTTTTTTGTGTTAATCACTCTCTTTTTTCTAGATATCGTTTATTTCCAAATGGGTGCCAAGAACCCCAAATTGGTGGTTGATAACCACGATTTTCTATGCGCCGAAAAAAAGGTGGACAAAACCGTATGGAGATGCTCTCAGTATTATTATTCAGCAGCGGGAAGATGTAAGGCAAAACTCGTAACCAGCGGTCGTATCGTCCAGGTCATAGGAGAACATAATCACGAATCTAAAACCAAAAAGGATAAGAAATCTTATAATATGAGATCCCAAAAGGTTACTATTATTAGAAAACCGGAATAATAGATTTGCTCGTACATGGGTTGATCCCTGACGTGTTCGTAATAAAAATAATATTTCTGAATTGTTTTTTTTACTTATATCTCTTAATCCTGATACACTTGTCCCAGCGATGCTTCAGCATTTTAAAATCTTTATGGAAGAAAGGTTCCCTAAATATCGTTAGTTACGTATGATATCACTTTTGTAACATAATCTCATAAAATCAATATGCCATCGATTTATCTTCTTCGTCTTCGAGTCTTTAGATGCTTCTTTAGTGCCTTCTTCAACTGAAGACGGCCTTACGTTACTTTTTCAGCTCCACTTCTTTGTCTTCAGATCTCTACAGGGTTCTTCAACGTCTTATAAACTAAAAATCGATAGCATGATTTTTGAGGTCATGTTCCAAAAGTGATATGATGTCCTTACATTTATTCTGAGATAGTAAGAAAGTGAGAGATCCCCATTTTTTAATGAATAAACTATCGTTACTATCCATACATGGCACCTCTTCTCTAAACTAGGTATATATAAGATTCTCTACATCCTCGTTTTTAGATACGATCTATTTTGACATGGCGACCAAGAATCCGAAAATAATTCTAGACAACCACTTTTACATTGTATTGAGAAAGGAATTCAAAAAGACGATTTGGATGTGCACCAAGTATTTCAACGTGCCCAAGCAAAACAGATGCAAGTCCAAATTGGTGACCAGCGGAAGGACGGTTCACGTCAGCGGCGAACACAATCACGAACCAAGGGAGCCGGGAAGTTTTAAAAATATGTTGTCTCAAAAGGTTACAATTTTTAGAGAATAATATGTTACATAAGTATAGTGGAATTCCAACTAACAGATATAGGATCTCAAACTCTCTCAAATAAATAGTCTTTCAAATATTTATTTCGCAAAAAGTATGTTTTCTTCTCCTAAATTTAAAATAACTATTTTGTTTGTGATATAAAATTATTAGTGAAACTACTTACAGAACTATTATAAAATCCTTTTATAACGATTGGTTTGTTTTATTAACCGTTGACAGCAACATCTACAAGATCCTAATAAGACTAAAAATTACACTTAAAAAAAAGTAAAATATAGTCCCATTCATCACCCTACAATTTTATAATTATGAATTTATTTCTTTCAAAGAAAACACTTTGTTGCCAGACTTTTTCTCTACCCTGTATAACTCGTATAAATGTTCTTAAAACCTTAATAAGCAAATTGATTCCTATAAGATATATTTAATAGATATTCTAACAACAATTATAAAACATATTTTGTTAGTTGGAATTGTTATGAGAAAGTATTGTAGAAGAACTACGGTATCACGTACAATGTCCTGTTCTATAATGAAAATAAATAGCCCGAGAAAATTCTCCCATGATCAAAACATTTAAGACAGTCTTTAGATCTTCTTTAGCGTCTTCTCCAACCGAAGACGGCCCTACGTCACTTTTTCAGGTCCACTCCTTCGTTTTCAGATTTCTAGAGGGTTCTTCAACGTCTCTATAACTGTCGAAGCTAAAAATCGATAGCATGATGTTCTAAAAGTGATATGATGTCCTTACATTTATATTTAAAAAGAAATTCTTTATTTCACTCTTATAAATTAATTTTTTTTTAAATATTTATATAATAGGAAATATAGTCACGGAAATAGGCGTTTTCTACATACACTCAAAAAAATAATTTCCACTTCTTGTCTATAAAGATAATACGATCTATAATTTTTTGAAACAGCAATAATTTTGTTTATAATATTTATTTATGTGTGCCATAGGTATTAGTATCGTTCTTAAAGAGATTGCAAGTTTCTTCCTTAGTATTCGATAAGTTTTTGTATTGTTACAGAAAGAATGTAAAATTTGCTCAAATTTTTAATACAATCTATATGTTAACAATAATTTTTTTGTGCTAAACAATTCTACAATTTCTCTTTTGTTTTATATTAAAACTTTTTATAATAAGATTAATATGATGATAATCGATTCTGATTGATTAGTTGTATAATAGTTTCACTGTGTGTAATATTTAAATAAAAGAAATACCATATTTTTATAGTTTTTTTTATTTAACTAATTAAAAATGAAGAATTACTAGAGGTTTCTTGTAAATTGAACATTAAAGTACAACGAGTGAGTTTTGGAGGAACATTAAACAGAAACTTCAATATTGCTTGTTTACATCTAATGATCAAAGAGGGAAATTTAAATTCTTATTGTTTGGGTTCTTATTTGATTATAGTTTGATCAACCATGATATTTTTTTATAATACAGGTATAGAAAAATCTTATTTTGAATCTTTTCGAGGCTGTCTAAAATACATTTGAGGCTGTTGTACCCAAATGACAACAAAAGTGTATTGTATACTGTTGTAATAGTTTCTATAACTTTAACTGTTTTTTCTATATGTAATTTGTTTCACAATTCCATGTTTTAGGTTTAATATATTTCGATGTGGGTACCAAATACCCGAAAATAATATTAGATAACTACGAGTACCTGATGTACCGTAAGGAATCTGGAAGGACCCTCTGGAAATGCCGGTCTTACTACGGTAACAAGGACATAAAGGACAGATGCAAGTCCAGTTTGGTAACCTCTGGTAAAATGGTGAATGTTAGTGCAGACGAACATACGCATCCTCCACCGAACAAGGAGAGAATTAAAGCTACCCTTTCACAACAAGTCACTATAATTAGAGAAAGTGTTAAGCTGTGAAAGAGAAATACTAAATAGTCTGCATCCTTGTCAGTTTTGTTAACTTTTGTGTTTTAAAAAATGTGTAAGGAATTTAATTTTTTAATAGTAATAAAATCAATGAGTTAATTCATTTCAACTGAATATATTTCACTTTTAAACTATAGGGGGCAATTAATTGCCATTTTATCTCAAGAGTTTATAAAGCCATATCCCTATCTTTTGTAGACAACCGGTATATGGCTTTATATCTATTTCTATTCACTATATCTATATTTCTTGAACTTTAGACAATTATAATTATAGATTTTAGAATTACTATTCGATAGATCTAAGTGTATCTCCTTACAAGCCGAGCTCAATTTAGTATGTAATTCAATTTTCAGGTATAATATACTTCGACGTGGGTACCAAATACCCAAAAATAATCCTAGACCAATACGAGTACCGCATATATCGCAAAGAATCCGGAAGAACTCTTTGGAAGTGTCGCTCGTATTTCGGTTCCAAAGACGGCAAGGACAGATGCAAATCCACTCTGGAAACTTCCGGCAAAATCGTTAACGTCAACGCTGATTTTCACAATCATGCGCCGCCTCAGAAAAACAAGTTCAAAAGGACGTTGTCTCAAACTGTCACTATAGTTAGGGCCATGTCGGCTGATTGGACACAGATGAATCAGGGTGGATGTGGACTTGGACCTTTTGAATAATATTGTTTAGTTTTGTTTTGAAGTTATTTTGTTGGTTTTATAGTGTTTGAGATATAGTGAGACTTTTACTATTTATTTTTTTAAATTACTGTATAAATTACTACCTAAATCACTATCCAAACCACAATCTAAATCACTATCCAAATAACTATATAAATCACTATTTAAAAAACTATCTAAATCAACATATAAATCACTATTTAAAGAATTAGGTAAAATGTATATAAATCATTATCTAAATGACCATCTTAATCACTATCTAAATCACTATCTAAGTCAATATCTATTAACATATAAATCACTATCTAAATCAGTATATAAAGCATTATGTAAAAGTTATCTAAATAACTATCTAATTTTCTATCAAAATCATCAAATAAGTCACTATCCAAGTCACCATCCAAATCATTATATAAATCACTATCTAAATCGCTATCTTAGTCACTAAATTACTATTTAAATCACTATATCAATTACTATCTAAATACTATCCGGATCACTATTTAAATCAACATATAAAACCCTATCAAAGTCATTATCTAAATCATTATCTGAAGCAATATGTAAATCGTTACCTAAATCGTTATATAAATCGTTATCAAAGTCATATAAATCATTAAATAAATGATTATGTAAATTATTAGCTAAATCATTAACTAAATAATTATCTAAATCATTATCTACATGCACCGCCTCAGAAAAAAAGTTCAAAAGGACATTGTCTCAAACTGTTACTATAGTTACGGTCACGTCGAATGATTGGACATAGAGTCAGGGTGGAGGTGAACTTGGACTTTCTCATTAATATTGTTTAGTTTTTTTTTTAATAAAAATACAAGTTACGCGTAGTTAATTTGTTGGTATTACATTAGTTGAGATATAGTGAGACTTCGACTATCTAAATTAATATCTAACTTACTATCTAAATCACTATCTAAATTCCTATCTAAATCACTATCTAAATTATTACCTAAATCACTATCTAAATTACTATTTATATCGCTATCTAAATCACTTATATTAATCTCTATCTAATTTAATATCTAAATCACTATCTAACTCAACACATAAATCACTGTTTAAATCTCTATCTAAGTTATTATCGAAATCATTTATCTAAAGCATTATCTATTTGCACTATCTAAATCATTATATAAATTGTTATCTAAATCACTATCTAAATCATTATATAAATCGTTATCTATATCATCTAAATCATTATCTAAATCATTAACTAGGTCATTAGCTAAATCAATATCTAAATTATTATCTAAACTATTATCTAATTCATTATCTAAATCTTTCACTAAATCATCCAAATCATTTAAAACATAAATCATTATCTAAAATATTATCTGAATCATTATCTACAATGGCGGTTCGTGACCAAAATATTAGGGGGTTCACAATGACAGAATATAGATCTCAGTACAGATTTAGGTTAAAAAGGTTTATAATATACCTTTCTAAAACTCTGAAAATTGTTTACCCAAATGGATACTAAGATATATATTCTATCATTGTAAACCCCAGGTATTTCGATCAGGAATCGCCACTGATTATCTATATCATTATTTAAATCATTATCTAAATCAATCATTATCTAAATTATTATCTTAATCATTATCTAAATCATTATTTATATCATCCAAATTATTATCCAAATCATCTTCTAAATCATCCAAATCATTATCAAAATCATTTAAATCATTATCAAATCATTATCCAAATCATTATAAAATCATTATCATTATCCAAATCATTACCTAAATTTGTCATTATGTATTTAAATTATCTGTTTGCTTTAATAACAATTTTCTGAAGAGTGGTATATGTTGCATAATTGGTTTTCTAACATTGACATTGACATTTTAGCAAACTAACTCTCTCATTCGTTTCGTTTGATACAACATTGTAAATTAAATTTATCATTACCATTATCTAGAGGAAATTGAGCAATGTTTTATTTATTTGTAAATTGTGTGTAAAAAGAATATTTATTATTTACTTAATTAGGTTTAAATTGTATATTTTGTTGTATAATATATTGTATATATTCAATAAATATTTCCGAATATTTTTATAATTTTTCTTAACTCAATGATACGATATGATACGATAATAGTTGCTAAAACGCTACATTGGGAAAGATCATGGAAAATGTGGGGCATAATGAAACCGAAGACTTAAAGAAAAGCAATTACATCAGAACAGAAAAAGAAAAGTATAAAGTGATCAAAGATGTGTCTATGGCAGGTGGGCTCGGATAATCAATAGCTTGCTTGCAATTGCATCTAAATTTCATATTTTTATAACTGTTTATGTATTTTTATTTATACATGTTTTTTTTAGGAAGAAAATTTGCAAAAGTTTATATTTACTTTCGCAATAATTCTGCCAGAATAGTTCTGAACGGATACACCTACGGACTCAATAGAAGATACGGAGAAAAATCATTCTGGTTATGCAGCCACTACACCAAGTCGCACTGCCGTGCCAGGGTGATTACATTCAGTAACAAAGCTGTATTCAAAAACAATCACAATCACAATATAGAAGAATCACCGAATCTCTCTCAACTGAAATATAAGATTGTTGAAATACAAGAAAATTGTTTTTAAATTAATAATAAAAGTTATTGCTGGGATATTTGTTTCTTTAAGTAATATAATTTTACACGTCTGTAGAAGACCCTAATTATTAGTTGGATGTCTAGAGGGCAATTGTGGTTAAAAAAATGGGCAGGTAAGTATGACTCAAAAAAGGATTATAGTGTTATTAAATAAATGTTAGTATTAAATCATAAACCAACAGTTTCTTTAATAGTGAAAACTGTATTTCTCTTTGATGCAAAACTTCGAATATAATGTATTAAGATCCAAATGATCAACTCACTATACATATGATCTTGACAGCTTCAGCTATATATGTCGTGCTTTAAATCAAAATGCTTTTTTATTTTTATTTAGTTTTATAGAACGAGTGGACTAATATATTAAAATTTTAGGAATGATATACTTTGACGTAGCAACAAAAAACCCCAAAATCGTGCTAGACGATCACAACTACCTCATATACAGGAAAGAAATGAACAAAACCGTTTGGAAATGTTGCAGATATTTCCGTTGTAAGGAGAACAGATGCAAGTCAACGTTAGTGACCACTGGCAGAATTGTTACTGTCAGCTCAGATATGCATAACCATGATCCAGATATGATAAAAAAGGACAGATATAAAAATATGTTGTCCCAAAGTGTAACAATAATTAGAGAATAAGTTTAGGTCAGATTTCAACCGTAATGGTTTATTTATTATTTTTAACGTAACGGTCACAGTTGAGATACAATTATTTTCCTTTTTTAAATAAATAATAACCTTTCGCAATTCATATATATCAAAGTTTTGTTTAGAGATACTATTTTGGAGATAATTTTTCACGTGTGTTCAAACAGTTTATTTTATGTAATGGTATTTGTACAATTGTCTTAAGGTGAGAGTTTAATTGCGTTTAATTGTTTCTAATAAATTTGAAAATTATACAAATTAAAGAGCTAAGATTTTGTAGACGTTTTAAAAATAAATCAGAGCAGTTGCTGACGCAAATATAAATAATGTAACTTTGATAATAATAAAAGTTCAAACAGTTATAAAAAAATGTAATACGATTTTTTCAAGGGGTCTATTAATAATCAAATACAATTACCTTGAAACCAATTCACAAATCAGCGTAATAACGGAGAAAATTTAGAACTAAAATTTAAAATAATTTACGCGGCTAACCCTATTTTACCAACATTTTAGTTCAGGCACTCGTCGATAAATCTAAAAACAAGCAAGTCAAATTGTTTCCAACCATTTTCCAACAATTCGGAGTAAAGTTTTGATATGTTTATAGTTCAACAGAAGCCGAAATAACGTGGGTTTCAAATACATAGTGAATTTAATACTGGCAACATTGACAGTTCGTTATTCGGTTGACCTTTGCACGATTTATTTGTAAATTCACGTACACATAATTATCTTTTATACGAAATCGTTAGAAAATTATTTTTGTGATGGATGGGCGATTAATTTGTCGGACAGTTGACTAGGTTTCAGAAAGAGAAGGAAAATTATTTTCGAAATATATATGTTACGGTTAAAGTGTTTACTTGGCTAGTTTATAGACTAGCTGGATAGTATACAAACTATCCAAATGTCCTGCTATTTTGATGGAAAATCATATTTCTACTAAAATAGCTATGAATATTGGTTGATTTGTATACTAACCAGCTAGTTTACAAACTATACAATATTTCTCGCCAAAGTACAAACCACAAGAAAAGTACACAAATTAACCGACATTTTTGGCTAGTTTACAAACTATCCACAGTATTTGGATAAAGTGTGAACTAAATATTCGTAGTAATACATAATAACCAGCTCGTCGGTTAGTATGTCAACTAACCAATTCTCTTCGGTTAATTTATTAGAATAGTGAGGTTATAGTTATGGCAAGTGTGTGTTATTATTGTTTACTACTGTGGTGCCTTGTGAAATTTTAAAAAGAGGTTATTAAAAATTAATCTACAGCAACAATTTGAAAACCTACTTTTGGAAGTTTACGAACAAAAGTCGCAAAATTCAAAAAAATTAATGAATGACAGTGATTAAAGTGAACTTTTGCAATGTATAAAAAGAATACGCGAAACTGAACCTAACACGAGTAACAAAAATTATTATTATTATTTTTGTTGGAAAAAATAAATATATTGGCACCTAATTTAACTTAAAAAATACTTGGACTGACCGCATGGCAAGTGAACATTTATCCAATGAACCACCTATTCGATTTTGCCTTGGGTACTTCATTCATATATTTAAATAAAGATTATTGATTGTTTAAATAATTTCATTCTAGGAATTTAGATTAAATTTTATTTGTTTTTTGGCCACTCTATACCTACATATTGGAAAAACACCAACCACATTTGCAAATTTTTGGCCGTTGTCACTCTGAA